TGCATGTACTCTCGGATGGATTGAATGGATAGATCGGATGAAATAAATTCTGATTCGGCTGTCTGAAACAAAATCTGAGGCGTTCACATGACCTCAGTCGATTTGGTATAGAAATGAGCAAATCTCAGAAGGTTTGTCTATGATTGCAAAATCCATGATTCATAGACCAATTTGCTGATTTTTTTTATAAATAATTTTTTAGCGTAATCTCACACGCATATTTTGCGAAATAAAACACATGTCTGTGAAATAAAAACAAACATATTATCAAATAGAAAAACAAACTTTCAAAATCTCTTTAAAAACAACGTTTCTTGTTTGTCTCTGAGGCTTTTCATCCTCATCAACTATCAAAATCTTCAAACCTTTCTTGGATGTGATCCTATAGATGTTGGACTTAAGGTAAATTAAGAAATAACATTTCCATTCTCCAATTCGACAGTATTTCTCGAAGTGTTGCAACAATGACTGTTTGCAACTGGGATGGATTGTCATACCCTAAAACATGTAAAAAAAAGGATGAAGTAATATATTAAACACAAAATATAGACATGTAGTGCATAGGGCTTACATTTTTGTATGTTAGAATCATCTCAAGAGAAGAACCAAACAGGGATTGCATGACTTCCACAAAGGCTGAACATCAATTAGATTGCTGATTTTGATTAGGCTATTTATATCGCTGGTAAATTATTTAGGGTAGCAAACATATAAAATCGTTTTTGAGGAATATTCTATGGATATAATTATTCAAAATCTTATAAGTTACAACAATATATGATTTATGGCTTTGGATGATCTATTTTGTTTAAATTAGATAGGATTTCACTATATAGTTACGATTTTATACCAGTGTCNATTTTGATTAGGCTATTTATATCGCTGGTAAATTATTTAGGGTAGCAAACATATAAAATCGTTTTTGAGGAATATTCTATGGATATAATTATTCAAAATCTTATAAGTTACAACAATATATGATTTATGGCTTTGGATGATCTATTTTGTTTAAATTAGATAGGATTTCACTATATAGTTACGATTTTATACCAGTGTCTTCTTATTTGAAAAATTATAATTTAAAATAACTACATTTGAAAAAAAGATATGTAAATAAATTTAGCGAGTTAGTTTCCTAGTTGTTAATATCGAATTTGTTTCATAGTTATATAGATTATATAAAATAAAAGGGATTTTTTATATAATTATCCACGGTAATATACCAAAAAGTTAAATCTATATATTATACAGAATAATGAGATGGTTATTATATGCGAGTTTGAGAAAATTATAAAATTGAATTGAAACCATAGATTACAAACATTCCAGTAAAAGGCAACATGAATTACGTTGTAGTAATTGTTTTGATCACTGCTTGGTGTGATTCTTTGAAATGTGTGCCAACTTTTGAGCAGTGTAATATTTCATAGTGGCAGAGAGCATGGATGGCAGTATTATCTAATGTGTTTGGACACTAATCTCTGAGAACATAGATATGTATCATTTTATGTCTACACATGTATATAGTTTGCTCATTATATATGCTAGCACAATTGAAACAATGTCTTGTTATTCTTGATATTAATGGCATATTTGAGAACTGAGATTAACTGCATAAGTGATTTTTATAATTAGAATAATAAAGTCAAACTTTAAAGGTACAATTGCTGATGATGTACGGGTGAAGAAGAAGATATAGGCGCGGGAAGTGGTGAAGAGAATGTTGTGATGTATGTCTGTGTTTTATTTCTATATTTGATTTGTAAGTCTTATGTTTCACATTCTTGGAGTATCAAAATTCTGTTTGTATTGTGAATATAATGTAGAATATTCATGTATATCCACTAAATACTTGATCACAAAATAACTGAAATTTACGAAAATAGAAAAAAAAATATTTAATCAAAAGTATACCCTAAAAATAATTCAGTGGCATGAATCTGTAATTACTATTGAAAACCAAGGGTACCTCAAAAAAGGGCCTTGTGTTTTAATAGTATAGATGTATAAAACTATGTTTAGTTTTTAGGGTAAATGGTAAATATATAAAATCTTGATAGTATTAATATATGTAATTAATTTAATTAAAAACACTTTGGTTTTTCGGTTTGGTTTAAAATCACATCAAACCAAATCATTTGGGTTGGTACAATACTAAACCAAATGGTTTAGACATATGTTTGGATTTGATTTGAGGTTTGAGTCAGTTTGAGTTTAGTTAAATCGGTTTGGTTCATTTGATTTTTCTTTGCCCACCCCTAGCTAAAACCCATTTCCACTGTCTTGGTTTGGTCTGCAACAAGCTCCTAGTGTACTTCCTCTTCACCGCCACGAATTGATTCTCAGCAACTCCAGATGAAACTTAACAGGAGATCTTTTCTTCTGAACCTTGCTTGGTCAAAATGGTTTTGCTTTGAATATACCTGGTTTCACCTACAAACCAAAACCTTTTCCTAACGTGAAACCTGGTTTGCAAGCCTATACATGATCCTGACAATGAGATTATGACAAGTTATTACCATCAGAGTGACGGATTTCTGAGGCAGGGGGAGGGGGAAGTAGAGAAGAGGTAGCAAAGAGGTCAACGAGAGCCAAAGTTTGACAAGGTGTAGACGAGAGATCCATTATATTTGTGATACTCAGCGGCCCTCTATGCTCTATCAATTATTACTTGCGTAACAAGCGAAGAAGGACTAACAAAAATATAAACAAACAAGACTGCAAAATTCAATAAACGAAAAAGAGTGCCTTGCAAAATACGAAATAAAAGAGTTGTGATGAAACAAATTACATAAGATGGGCAGAAAATCTCTAACATTGGGATTGTCCTAAAAGCATCAACATTCTCTCTTCTACACATTTTGGCAAATTATAACAAAAGCCATTCTCCTTGTGTGAAGGAAACCCTAAAGTCCTCTCACCATTTCCATTTCACAACCCATCTTTACACCATTCTCACTCACTCATCAGCCTAAAGAGGGATGTTTGGTTCTATGTATCGAGAAACTACACGATTTTACAAAGATTTTTGCAGAGAAACAAGTGCTCTCTCCCTTTCACAATTTCCCTGCAAAGATTTTATTATTTCCAGTTTTAGATCTTACCTAAATTCTCAAAACGCAGTGGCAGACCCGTACACCCTAATTAAGCTGTACAACACTTGCAGCCTTACACCATCTGAGGCTGGTTTTGCGACTGCAAACCCATTCTCCTCTCTGCACATAGCACAGCACCACCACTTAAGAGACCCTAGAAAAATACTTGATAATTGCCTCAAAGGATCATGTACAATACCTCCAGCAGCAACGAGTTTTTCAACACGGGCAACAATATGCTTTCCATAAGTGTACTTCTTTAACGCATTAAGGTGCACTTTAATACGAGTAAGAATCAGCTCACGACGTTGGTCATCACATGTCTCCAAAACCTTTTGCACTACATAGTTTGCAAACTGATCCTTCATCATCGCCTATATATAAACAAAAGAGTGTGAGAAGCATGTTTGTTTATTTAGTTTCCATTGAATACAACCTAAACGTAACAGACCTGAAGAGGCTCGTTTTCATCAGTAGTGCCAAGCATCTCATTCACGAGCAGTTCTCGTTCCTCTGGACCTCCAAAAGTCAAACATTTCTCAACAACATTCGACGCAAACTTCTGCTGGCTCATCTGTACAATCTTCCCTGCTAACTCCTTGATTATCACCGTACGCTCATCAGGTTTTCCATGCTCCAGCACATGCTGTGTCCACAAAAACGTGTTATCAGTTTTGAACAAACAAATATGAAATCACATCATTACTTTTTTACAAACCTGAATAACATAGTTTCCATACTGATCTTGGGCTAACATACTAACTGTGGACAGGATCTCTTCCATAACCTTGCTCTGTGTATCCGGTTCATGACAGTGTTCCAACACCCTCTGCAAATGGAGACGAGAAACCGTTTTATACTGAAGCATAAGATCAAGAAAAGAGTGTTTATCACTTAAGAGTAGGAACCTGAATAACGCGACACCCGTATGGGTGAGTGGAGAGTGTCACAACTTGACCAAAGAAAGTTGAAATGATGAATCCGATGTTTTCTTCAGGCACACATTCGATGCACTTCTGAACCACATGGTTCCCATTCTGATCACGCACGCATCGCATCACATGTCCATCAAGTTCCTTCACCATCTTAATCTTCTGGTCTAAATCAACCACCTCTATTGCCTAAAAAGATAACAAGTTCTCTCACATATACTAAGAATAAAGGACAAAGTAGAAGAGGTAAGAACAAGACTTTACCTTCTGGATAACACGACAACCATACATCTGTAAGCTAAGAGCCAAAACGTTGTCAAAGAGCTTCTCTGCCAATTCTCTCCTTTGTGCTGGGAGTCCATGCTCAAAGAACTGTAGGAATATTATTCAGAAATCTTTGTTGTATATAAACCAAAACTTAAAAAAATAAAAGTGAATAAATATACCTTTTGAATAACATAGTTTCCAAAAACATCAGTCATCAGTGCAAGAGCTTGTGGCATGATCTCCTCATAGACCATGTTCTTCTCATCAGTTGTTGCTGTCTCTAGTTTCTGCTGAATAAACCGGCTCCCATATTGATCCGCACTGGTTCAGCCATATCAGAATACGCATTAGCTTGGGACAACTCTCAAATGGCATACAAGAATAATAAAGGCAAATGGTTTCAAGGATATACCTGAACTCAACAACATGAGTAGCTATTTCAGAAAGTTCAAATCCTCTTGTTTTGTTACTCTTAAACTCTTCAAGCAATGAAGAACCAAAGCCTCCATCCAAACCACCATCCATGTGCCAAGAATCCATTACCCCTCCTGGATAGTTTCTTGCTCCAGAGGGATACCGCATATTAACTTCACCTCGCCTCATGGGGCTGCAAGGAGCCATAAGAGAGCTTTGCATAGCGTGATGAGCCAATGGGCTTCCAGGAAAAGACATATTATTAGACCCAAACGTTGGACTCCCATAATAGCTACGGCTGTTAGGGCTAACGGATTTGTAAGGGAGACCATACTGTGACTTCTGAGCTCCGAGGTAAGCCCTCTGGAGTTCCAGCATATTCATGTATGAATTACCATACTGATGATCATTGAGAAGATCGAGCGAATCAGCGTACTGATGATACATTGGGTCGGGAATATGTGTCTGAAGAAGACCAGCATTTCCTGCCATCATCCGGTTACTGATCCTGCCAAGATTATGTGACTCAGAGAGGTTTTGACCCAAACCTCTCCCATGAAGTCTGGAGTCCATTCCAGAATATCCCAAAGCAGATGGTGAGGAAACATCTTCATACATTGGAGAGAAGTTGTTACTTCCAAGTTGGCTCGCCATCATAGCTGGATTTAATGCATAGTTGTTTAGACTATAGTTCGGGGTATCAAGATGCTGAGGCTGGTAGGGACCAGGTAGTCCACGTCCACCACCGTTATAGGCAGATCCTTGTGACCCTCTCAACTGCGAGTTCCTCCAGGAATCAGTTCCCTTATGCGCGGCTTGATCAGATTTGTTTAGGAACCCGTCGTTATGTCCACCAAACATGTAGTTCCTGACCTTTTCGACATCCTGCTCAGCCTGACCACTGCCTGTCAAGTTCATGCCAGATAAAGCTGCGGCGAGATCTGAAGACTCGCTGAGACCAGATGTAACACCGTTGAAGGGGCTTTGATTATTTGTGTTCCTCTTATTCTCATTTGAAGTCACTCTTCCACTACCAATGGGAGTCAGGCAGGGACTAGGTACCCTACCAATGGCCTGAGGATCAGGAGTTCCATTTCTGGACAATGAAGAACCGAGTACAGCTGCATAGCTGAAAGGAGATGAGGCACCAACGCCTTGTGATGCAGATGGAGACTGGTTATTCGTAGGACTGACCTTCTCATCAAAGGCATTCCGACTCGCAGGACGTGAGGGATGCTGTGGAACAGGATGGTCAGCCTGCACAATAAGCAATCCATTAACATTCAACAAGAGAATCAAAACAATCATCTAAGCATATAAGAAAGAGGTTTCACTGACCTGAAAGATATCAGCAAAACTCTTCTGCTTGCCACCAAGATCCAAACCAATAAGACCAGTAGCATCCCACTCAGAAGAAGAAGCCTTCTGAGGCTCAAACTCATGCTGCTGCTGCTTCATCTGATCAAAACCAGGAGGCATAGAGAACAAAGATCTGCTCCCATCATCCCCCTTTCTCCTATCCCCAATCCCACCCAACACAGCACTACTCCCTTTAACCCTCTGAGCAACCCTCAGATCCTCCCTAGACATCAAAGGAGGAGGCAACCTAGGATTCAACTTCATATTAGCATAGTAATAAGACAAGTAATCCGGATCCTTCCTGAACTCCTCATCAAACCCATTCCCACCACCAAAGTCAAGTGAAGGAGCCGCCGCCCCACCTCTGAAAAGCCCTCCTGCAGCACTGAAGGAGCCGTCAACAGTAGGCGGCGCAGAGCCGCTTCTGTACAAGTTAAGCTCTCTCTCAAGCTCATCAGCTTCCTCTTGCCGCCGCTGCTGCTCACTGAGCAACACACCAATCTCCTTCTCGTATTCATCTCCAAAAGATGGATCTTCGTTACCTCTAAGCATCGTCCTTCTTCCTAGTTCCGGAATCATTACCAAACCTAAACTAGACAAAACCCATTAAATCAATTCCGAGATTTTGGTCATACAAACCGTAAAGATCAAACCTTTAGTTGAACAAAACAAATAAAAATCAAACCTTTATACCTCAAACAAAGCCAAAGATCAAAACTTTTATCAATTCTCAGGAGAATGATTGATAATCCACGTTTTGAAGTTTATGAAAGAAACCTTAACAACGACAAGGATGAAAGAGATGGAAGAAACTCTGAGTTTTATAGTGTTGACGGAATTTTTATGAGACGGCGATCGAAGAACCTTTAGGGTTTTTATGCCATTTAAGTCAAGAAATTTTAATGAGAAAATATATATACTTTTTTTTTACTGCGAATTAGTAATTTTAATGAGAAATGTTTATTGATTAATGGCATTTATCTATTAGAAGTAAAATAAAGACAGTTGAGAAGATAACTACGAACTTTTTTGTGTGTTATGTTCCTCGTTTAAGCCGGTTTCGAGAAGATCTTTGTTTTGTTTCTTATGTTAAAGTACACTTAAGGTTTGTGTTCTTCAAGAAATAGGAAACTTTCTAAGAATATCACGAAGTTTAGATTCAGGAAAAGTTTCAAGAAGTTAGGAAGTGTTCTTATTTTTGAATAGGAGTTATTTAATTCTTGACTTTTTGTAAACTCTTCTAAAACTTCAGCTAAATCATCTTTTAAAATGATATAAAAAAATAATCAAATTTCCATTTACATGATGATATGATTTCATATTTTGAAAAAAAAATATATCTCAAATTTTTAAAAAGATTATTTTCAACAAATAACTAGGAAGTTTCTTGCGCCATACGCATATAGAAAAATTTTAAATATAAAAGAATTTTATTTTTAAAATAAATTTAATTTAAATTTTGATACTACTCTTTCAATATTTTAAATTTATTAATCTGAACAAAATAAAATTATAAATGTAATTATATATTAGCTTCATTTTTCTAATCATAAACACACATATTATCAAAACTATGTAAGCAAAATTTTTATGTGTACAACACATGACGGTTTATTCCCAACATCACGTATAAAAGGGTTTTTAGTAATAAAACCCCTCAACTAAAGATAGATCGTAAAAAAAACCCTCAACTAAAGATTTAGGGAAATAAACCCTCAACTTTAGTTCCGTTAATGTTTGTCACCCTCCGTCACAGAATTTTAGACAGAAGGTAACATACGTTAACATAACTAAAGTTGAGGGTTTATTTCACTAAATCTTTAGTTGAGGGGTTTTGTTAAGATTCATCTTTAGTTGAGGGGTTTTATTACTAAATGCGGTTAAATATTTGAAAATCTCTATT